GGTGGGGGCTGCTTTCACCATAGAGGTGACCTTGGCCTCGGGCTCTGGGTCTTGCCAGGGCCCAGACTTAGCGTTCACGCATCCGACCCTCATGACAGCCCGGCCGGGCAGGCACAGGCACACCTGCTTTACAGGTGACAAAGGTGACTCTCAGTGAGGGAGGTGACCGGTCCAGGCCCTCACTGGGGTGTGGATCCCAGCAGTTGCCGCCTTGTTCCGCAGCGTGCGTCTGACCGACACGCCTTCCCTCCCTGCTCGGACTCAAGCAGGCATGGCCGTGCACATCCCCGAATGAGGGCTCTCGGTTCTCTGTCCCCCGCAGGCCTTACGTCATCCGTGGCATGGCGCCCCCGACCACGCCCTGCAGCACCGACGTGTGCGACAGCGACTACAGCGCCAGCCGCTGGAAGGCCAGCAAGTACTACCTAGACCTGAACTCCGACTCTGACCCCCACCCGCCCCCGCCCACGCCCCACAGCCAGTACCTGTCGGCGGAAGACAGCTGCCCACCGTCGCCCGCCACCGAGAGGAGCTACTTCCACCTGTCCCCGCCCCCGCCCTCCCCCTGCACGGACTCGTCCTGACCTGGGCCGCCGCCGGCCTCCTCGCCCCTGTAAATACTTTTAAATATGAACAAAGAAAAAATATATTTTATGACTTAAGAAATAAATATAGTTGGGATTTTAAAAACGAGAAATGTGAACAGGGATGGGGTGGGCAGGGCTGGGAGAACCTTGTACAGTGGAGAAAATATTTATAAATTTAATTTTTTCAACGTTATTGCTGTTCTTCCGTGTTGTGTTGTGCCTTTGAGTTTTGAAATCCCAAGTTGCTGTTCCCACAAGCGCACGCCGGGCTCAGGCCCGCCCCTGGAGCAGCGGGGGTCCCACTGGGATGGGGAGATCTGAGAGGGTGACGAGTCCACCAGGAGGCATTTTTGACCAAAGTCGCAGGAACGGATGGCTTTGCAGGCATGAGGTCTGGGGGGCCTCACAGGCCCTGCACCTGCCGTAGGTTCTTATGCCGTGGGTCAGACTCCCTCTGACAAGGGCCCGGGCTCTTCATTTGGCAACGTGCCCAGCATTCCGCCTGCGGCTGGCTTTGGCTGCTCCCTGGCCGGTCCCCACCGCATCTCACTGGTGTGTAATGGAGATGGCACTGGAGGTCCGGAGGCCTCCCCTGGCCCCAGCCTGTGTAGACCTGGTGGATGGGGGTTGCTGGACCCCCATGGGGGAGGGAGGCCCCAGCCCCAGTCCCTCTGGCTCCCTTCTGCTCCAGGGCCCCCGTCTTGCCCCTTCCTGCAGACGGGCTCTGCCTGGCCATCACCGAGGCTTCCAGCCAATGTCCCCCAGGGCCTCAGTGTGTCCACCCTGCATAGTGTTAGGGAAGACAGCGCAGGCCTGGCCCTGCCCCCTGGGCTCCCCGATCTGGAAGGAAACACGTAAGTGAACAATGCTGAGTCGTGAGGAAGCTTGGCTACTCTTCTCTTGCCAGGTAAGATGCCCACCTCCGGAGAGGAGGGCGGAGGCGCCCGTCACAGTGGACTCGGGGGCCTGCACCGGCGGAGGTTGGAGGGGAAACTCCAGAATGTTGGGGAAGGATACCTCTACTCGCTGCTGGGTCCTCCCCCCTTAAAACACAGGGTCTAGGGGAGGCGCATCAGTCTCCTGGCCTCCCGACAGGACCCGGAAATTGAAGCCTTGAACCCACCCCCAGGGGCTGGGACTGGGGTAGGGCAGGCTTGCACAGCCGAGTGCAGGACCGCTTGGGATGGAGGACCTCCCAGACCCAAGACTGTGGTAGGGGTGGGCGGGGAGGTGCTGAGGCTGGGTCCCTGCTGATGAGAAACCCCTCAGCCCAGGGAGAGCGACCCTGTGGGACCTGGCGTGCTGGGACAAACCTCTGGGGGGTTGCCTTCCTGGTCCCAGCTCTTCAGGAACCCCTGGCCCCAGGTGATCCCAGGGATGGAGACGGGAGATGTGCTCGTGCCGCCCCCACAGTGAGCGTGGGCCAGAAGCAGCCTGGGCCAAAGCTGCGTGGTGTCTGGCCCGGCCCTGGTTAAATGGGGCTGAGATCTGTGACAGCCTGGGCTGACGTGAGTAGCCCCAGGGCATCCCAGTAATGGCCAGAGGGCAAGCTCAGGGTCCCAAGTGCTCAGGACTGGGGTTCTCAGGTTGGGCCACGCTCTCTGGGGTGCTAACTGAAGGACAAACCCAGCAGCCTAGGGCTCAGAAGGGGCGGCTGCCTCATGGGGGTCTCTGGGAGACCCTTCCCTTTCACCCTCCTGCCCTGACAGCCATCCACACTGAGTGGGCCTGCCAGGAATCAGGACCTAGGACGGTGGAGGCAGCCCTCCCCGCCCTCCTCTCCAGCACCCAGTGCGCGGACCCCACCTGGGGGCTTTGTGTGGCTAGGGGTTCCCCCTGGTGGCCAGGAGCCTCTTCTGCACCCTTCACTAGACCCCGCTAGGCAGGCACCTACTAGGACTGGGGACCAACCCCTGGCCTCCTACCCATACCTTTGTTGAACTCTGACTCACAGAGGACTTAGGACAGAGAAGAACTGCCCCATAGGGTTCCCAAGGTTGTCAATCTTTATGGAAGCAGACTGCTTGATCTTTTTCCAGCAGGGTGGCCGGTGGGCACGAACCACCAACCTTTTGGTTAGCAGCTGAAGGCTTTAACCACTCAGCCACCAGGGCTCCTCTTTGGCCTTCTACAGCTGTTATTGTTAGGGGCCGTCAAGCCGGTTCTGACTCATGGCAACCCCATGTGCGACAGAATGAAACCCTGCCTGGCTCTGTGCCAGCCCCATGATTCTTGTTATACTTGAGCCCATCGTTGCAGCCACTGTGGCAATCCGTCTCATTGAGGGCCTTCCCCTTTTTCGTTGACCCTCCACTTTACCAAGCATGATATCCGTCTCCAGGGAATGGTCCTTTCTGACAACATGACCAAAGTAGGTGAGATGAAGTTTGGCCATTCTCGCTTCCAAGGCGCATTCCAGCTGCACTTCCTCCAGGACAAATTTGTTAGTCTTTTTAGCAGTCCACAGTACTTTCAGCATTCTTTGCCAACACAACTCAAAGGTACCACCTCTTCTTCAGTTTTCCTTATTCATTGTTCAGCTCTCACACGCACATGAGGTGACTGAAAATACCGTGGTTTGGGTTAGGGGCACCTTAGTCTTCACCTTCATCTTCAAGGAGATGTCCTTGCTCTTCAGCACTTTTTTTTTTTTAAGTTTTGTGGTCTTTTGCAGTAGATTTGCATGGTGCGATACATCATCTGATGTCTTGACTGCTGCTTCCATTGGTGTTGATTATAGAAGCAAGTAACCTGAAATCTTTGACAACCTCAATCTTTTCTCCATTTATCATGATGCTGCTTATTGGCCCAATTGTGAGGATTTTTGTTTTCTTTATGTTGAGGTGTAATTCATACTGCATACCACAGTCTTTAATCTTCATCACTAAGTGGTTCAAGTCATCCTCACTTTCAGCAAGCAAAGTTGTGTCTGCATATCTCAGGTTGTTAATGACCCCTCCTCCAATCCTGATGCCACATTCTTCTTCATATAGTCCAGCTTCTCGGATTATTTGCTTAGCATATAGATTGAATAAGTATGGTGAAAGGATACAACCCTGATGCACTCCCTTCCTGATTTTAAACCAGACAGTGTCCCCTTGTTCTGTTTGAACGACAGCCTCCTGGTCTATGTACAGCTTCTTCATGAGCACAATTAAGTGTTCTGGAATTCCCATTCTTCTCAATGTTACCCATCGTTTGTTGTGATCCACACAGACGAGTGCCTTTGCATGGTCAATGACACTGTGCCGAGTGTCTCTGCTTTATGAACTCAGGGTCACAGTAAGTGGTATTTGTCATCATGACTTGATAGAATTGGAATTTGGCAGCTTTAAGGTGGAACCGCAGGGTGATGGCTACGTGGGCCATTGTTACACTCTCCCCCCTACTTTTGAGTATGTTTGAGCATTTACATATAAATGCGTTTTTTAGAAAACGTTGAGATGGACTGAAAATTTCAACATTACAAATTAAAATTTAATTTTAAAATGAGATGAAAAGGGAGAAGTTGGTCCTTGGCCTCCTGGAACTTCTGTGACAATTTCCAGAAACAGAGGCCAGCAGAGATCTGCTCTGAGTTCTGCAGCCAGAGCCCAGAGTCAAGGGCTTGGGAGGGCCGTGCACTCTGCAGAGGCTCTGAGGGAGCAGCTGTCCCGCCTCTCCCAGCTCCTGGTGGCCCCCTGCTCCTCGGCTGGGGCTGCATCGCTCCTGTCTCTGCCTCCAGCTCCCACTCCTTGTCTTCTGTCTGTCTCTTCTAAGGACACTTGTTACTGGGTTCGGAGCCCACCTGGACAATCTGGGACCACCTCACCTTAAATCCTTAACTTAGTTACAACTGCAAAGACGCTTTTTCCAAATGAGGCCACATTCAGGTTCCAGGATGTGGGTGTATCTTTTTAGGGGCCACCATCTCACCCACTACAGTGATGAACTGTGAAGTCTAGGAGTCTGGGAAGGTGGGTTCTAGGATGGTGAGGCCAATCCGTGTGAACTATAAAGCTCCCAAGTCACTCCCTTCAGGAGATGTGCTGACGCAGAGCCTCCTCCAGGAAGCCCTCTCAGATCTCAGCTGTGCATAGTTGGAGATGCCCAGGGCACACTTCCCTTGGGCCCGGTTTATCACGCAGATGGCCCTGGCAGCCCCATGGGAGTCTGGATGGGGGAGCTGTAGGAGGTCCTGCTGGAGCCTTTGACGGCGGAGTGCCTGGTGCTGGTCGCTCTTGGTTCTGAGTTACGGTGGCCGCCCCCACATGCAGAGACTAGAGCTGGCCCACAGGGTTTTCTAGGCTGTGAGCTTTTGGAAGCCCATCTTACTTGTAAGGCTCCTCTGGGTGGGTTTGAACCGCCAACCTGTTGGTTAGTGGTCCAGCGGTTAACCACCGCCCTCCCAGGGACTCCCTGAACGAGGAGATGGATGTGTGCAAACCAGAGGTGGCTGAGACCACCCCAGGAGGGCAGATCCGGGATCCCAGCCCAGGTGGCCCCACCCTGCCCACAGGCCAGCCTCCCTCTCAGGCATCAGCCTCCACCCTAGGCCCCCTGGAACCTTTCCTGTGCTCCCGGGTGCAGCCCGTCCACCTGCTGCTCCCATCTGTCCAGTCAGGTCCCTGTCCTGCTCTGAAACTCTCCCTGGTGCCCACTGTCTGAGCGTAAACCCCGGGTTTCCTCCAAGGCCTCCCATTCTCCTTCCTCAGACCTGCCACCAACCACGGTGTTTTCAGTCGCCTCGTACGCGTGTGAGAGCTGGACAATGAATAAGGAAGACCGAAGAAGAGCTGGCGCTTTAGTTGTGGTGCTGGAGGAGAATGCCCTTCATAGAGCGCTCTTCCCTCACTGGGCTCCACCCCTGCCCTAGCTTATCTGTGGACACACCTCCTCCTTCTCTCACCTGTGGGAGCACACCTTCTGAATGGGTTTCAATCTTGACCATGTCAGGAACTCTGGTGGCACAGTGGTTAAGCGCTCAGCCGCCAACCAAAAGGTCAGCAGTTTGAACC